AAAAAAAATTATAATCTGACCACAGTACTGGATGGAGCACATAGCTGTCTTACCCGCAACAGGAACTAGAGTAATACACAGTAGAGATTGTCATGTTGGCAGGCAAATTATGTAATGGAGCACTTTTTAACATTAAACATTAACAATTTTTTTTTCAATCTGTATATAAGACAATTGAACAACCTTACGGTTCCTTTGAGACCATTGATATTTTAAATTATATTTAAGTCTTGTTTCCTCTTCAATTGAAAACATATCTTTTCCCGAAAACTATTTCATAATCATTAATAGGAATAATTTTCCTTACTGTGTATAATAAATAAATTTAGGAAAGCAATTTTATTTACCTTTGTATTTTTTAGGATAAGGAGATCTGTATGATTACTCCTTATTAGGAATTGTAACTTTAAACCAATGCTTGTTTCTCCAGATAAAATGGCTGCTAATTTCTCCAGTTTGGCTTGATGTGATTTTTCTTCTTCAGTCTAAAAAAATGAAATAAAACTCATCATTAGTTCTCAACCCCATCAGGGGTTATGGAATTAAATGAACTTTAAATAACATCATACAATTCATTCAATGTGAATCTATAAAGTATTCAAGACAATAATGTGAATGGGTTTGCTTCTTTCCTTACAATAATGGTCACCGCATGATTGGGTTTGCTTCTGGTCACCTTTTTCCTCATTGTATTAACAGATTTCAAAAGAGAATCATCATCGACACTTTTATAAAATATTTATGGGCTATGGCAGTTTAAGTGGAGTACTTGAGTTTCACTGATCAGTTCAAATTAGTATTACTAATTTATTATAACTATCTATAAATAAAGTAATATAATATATATATATATATTATATATATTCCAACTTTATTTCAAAAAATGCATTATACAGAGACTGCAATTTCTATTGCATTCTCAAAGAATATAATATTTATCTATATAGCTAGAATATAAAGAAATGAATATGCATCTTACCAACTGCTTTGGTTTTGGCGTCTCTGGTGTTGTTTCATTCTCTGTTTTTGTTGAAGAATCTACATCCATTGCTTCACTATAAAAGCAATATAAAACAACCTTAGTATACATCAGAGTATATATCAGAGTATAAAAACAACCACGGAATACATGAAACACACTTAGTGTCAATAAAACATATGATAAAATATTAAATCAAAAATTAAAATACAATTTGGTTATTTTCTCAAGTAGAGGTTTTCTCCAATTTCTTCACTAAAAATATAGGCAAATTATAGGAATTATTTTTTTTGCTGAAGTTGAAACTATTTGCATAATCATCAGTTTAAATGGTATACACACTGACGACGACCAGAGTGAGCAAAACTGTTTAAAGCCTCTCAGCTTTAGCCTTCTATCCCAGGTTCACGGTGATTTCCTTTACATAATTAAATTGACCAACCTTTCTTTTTCGGTATAAGGTGCTTCAGCTGCCAACGGGATGGGGGCAACCGAACGCAGTGCTGCCAAAACTTTTGATAAGAAATGTTGTGAAGCGCTGTCATACAGATCAAAACCAATTTGATAAGCCATTAATGTCTGTTCCTGTAAAACAAAGCAGGATACCCGATGATGATCTGACAACTGACAAGGGGGCTGACCTGTTTTAATGGATTTTTTTGGGTGTGAAATACAAAGTACAACCAACAAAATTCCCAAGACCTTTTTCTTGTGGGGACATTCTGGTGGTGAATATGGC